TTGATTTTCGGGCTATCTTTGAATTCAGTGCTATGTATGTTCCTAACGCATTACCCAGTCCATATCAGTATAGATATCCAGCATGATATTTTTTTCCCATTGAGATCTGATGTGTTTTCAAAGTGTTCCTTTCATTTTTTTTTGAGCAGTGTATATGTAATCTATAACTAAATGATAGGGATAGACTGATACCTGATTTTTAAGACACTCTTTTTGGTGTCAGGTTTTTTTAGATGAATGAAAAATTATTACCGTTTCTTTATAATTATGAAGAACTGTAAAACCAGCCATAGATGGATCAAAATTTGTCCTGTTCAGCAGGGACCGGATGAACCTTGATTCATGTATGGACAGGCTGGCTGTACTGAAGTGAAGCCATTAATTGACTTCAGTGCAACCAACCTGTCAGGTTTTTTTTTTTTTTTCATTTGATCACTGCTGGTGGCTATAGCAGCCAGCAGTGATCATCACATTCTGATGGTGGGGAAACCTCCCACTGTCAGAATACAAAAGCTCCGTGGGAGGGATTCCCCTGAATCAACATTGAATGTGTTGATCGGGGAATTGAGCAATTTTCTTTCCTGAAACACATGAAAGAAAATTGCTTCATGTATGGCCTGCTTAAGAGATAAAAAATAAAGTTTAAAGTTAATAAAAAACCTAGGTGAAAGGGACCAGTCATGAATAAATGTGTTTTCTTTATACCGAGACATTTCTGTGAGAGTTGTAACTGAGTATATTTATATTGCCATAAATACACTTAGTTACAAGTGTCACAGAAATGTTCTGATTTAAAAAAAAATCACAAATATTTATGAATGGCCCTTCTTACATATGTCTTTTATTAACTTTAATTTTATTAACTTTAGATGAACATACTGTCATCTTGTGAGGAAATACAGTATACCCACACTAGACAACAGAGTCCTCTAAGCATTAGAGTATTTTTTTTTTTTCTTAGGGGTTAAAGGTCCCCAATTATTAGAGGCCATAGGGAGTATAGCCCTGTATGTATATACTGTGTGTCACGTCATGGCCATTTCCCTTCTTTCTCCCTGCTATTGCCATCTTTGAGATGGAGAACTTGGGAGTGAGATAAATTGCGCTAATGGTCAGTCATTTGCTTATGTCGCACCTGTACAGGAGATTGGCCTGTGTGATTGGGGCTAGAGACAGCTCTCCAGTAAGAACTCAGATCGGCAGGCATCTCTGTAAATCCAGGCAGATTGTTTGTTTTGATGTATCCATGTGGCTTTTTTTAACTTTAAGTGTTAGTAAACCCAGGACCAGGGGCGGACTGACAACTCATGGGGCCCCCGGGCAATAGGGGATCATAGGGCCCTGTGTCCTTGCCCAAACTCAAAAAAGCCTATGAAAAAGGTACCGGGGAATCTCATGGGGCCCCCTACTGACCCCAGGCCCTCGGGCAGTCCACCCCTGCCCAGGACCCTGCTTCCACTATATCTGGTCTCCCACAGTACGCACGACATGGAAATGCAATTATTTTAGTAAATATAAACTGCTAAATACCTTTTCTCATCAGCAGTTGCAGCAGTCTTGCAACTTCTATCAGTGCCTGGCCAAGTACTGGTTGAAGCATGTAGGAAGGAGTTTTCATTTTGTTTTAGGAGGATGCAGGACCCCTGACCTCTGTCTGAACAGTGCTGATTGGCCCTGTGCTGATCACATGCACTCTCCCAAGAAAAAAGAAACCTCTCTAGGAATACACACCAAACTGAACATGTGCAGAGTGACTCCACACAATATGTTTCATTAGTAGATAAGAGGAAGACACTGGAAGAAGAGGAGGATCAGAAAAGTCAGGATCAAACCCCTTAGGTCCCACAGTGAGTACAACAAGCATGCTTTACCACATATAGAGAATGATTTTACTGTTGTGGATTTAGTAACACTTTATGTAATAGAGATTTTAATAAAATACTACACCTTCATCTGGGCTCTGTGCTATGATCTCTCTTCCATCTAGGATACCTGAGTGGTGACCAGGGATTGGAATGCTGGAGCTAATGCTTGGATTATATAACGCTGGCTGTAATACTTCCATCTGTATTTCAGCCCTCTGGTGAGTGCATAAGGGTGGAGGATGGTACATGGCTGGTGACAGGGTGAAGAAGCTCTTTCCTTTTTTCCTTGCACTGTTTTAAATGTTATAAGAATTTGGATATACTGTACACTTTATGAATTGGACATATCTATTTTTCAACATTAATGATTTATTTTTTGTAATATTGGTTCATTTATGATATATGGATTGATGTTTATTTTGGACATGTATTATAGAACAGTAATTGGAGTCGATTGTTTGCACATATACTGTTTGCACTCATTTTTTGTATTTTGTGTACTGATGATTTATTCATGCTTAAGGTAATTTATATTTTGATCTAGTGAAATTTAGCACCGCCCTATTCTTTTTCTTGTACAAGTGTCTCCTATTACTGATAGTCTGTGCACATATCACAGGCCAGTCCATAGATCGTTATTTAAGATGGCAGACAACAGTGTTAGTCCTCATACACACTGGACGTTTTTACAGCTGCTGTTTTTGGCTTTTGATGTATTTTTCTACAACCAGTAAACCCCCCAGCATGTTATCCTATGTGTCCACGCACACATAGACTGTAATCAACGTTTTTTGGCTGGGACATTTTTTGACTGGTAAAAAAAACCCCCCAGGACTAGTGGGTTTCTAGAGGAGTTTTTTAGCTGTAAAAACGCTCTAACACTGAAAAACATGGCAAAACGAGGTAAAACACTGCAAACTGGCGTATTTGGATGTTTTTTTGACCAAAAAACATTTTTTTTTGAAAAAAAAAGATACAAAAATGCTAAATACACAACTGCAGAAAAACACTGCTAATCGCAGCAAAACGCAGCTAAATGCTAATACAAAAAACGCTAAAAAAAAAATGCTGAAAAACTCACATTTTTAATGTTCTAATGTTACCAGCGTTATCAAAACGCCCAGTGTGCATGGAGCCTTAATGTGTGCATGGAAACAGTATGTGGTAATTAATTTTCTACAGAAGACTTCAAGCACAGTACGGTGATGAGAAGCTCAGCTGCAGTAAGACATTTGAATGGTTTTAAATGTTTTAAAGATAACCTTACGTTCGACACAAGAGACAAATCTTTCCTAATTTTACTTTCATACCAATTTTGGGGCACTATTCCTATTGATACCAATGAACTATTCCTCCTAATGATACCAATTATGGGGCACTACTCCTCCTATTGATACCAATGATGGGGCACTACTCCTCCTAATGATACCAATTATGGGGCACTACTCCTCCTATTGATACCAATGATGGGGCACTATTCCTCCTAATGATACCAATTATGGGGCACTACTCCTCCTATTGATACCAATGATGGGGCACTATTCCTCCTAATGATACCAATTATGGGGCACTACTTATTGATACCAATGATGGGGCACTACTTTCCTATTGATACCAATGATGGGGCACTATTCCTCCTATTGATACCAATGATGGGGCACTATTCCTCCTATTGATACCAATGATGGGGCACTATTCCTCCTATTGATACCAATGATGGGGCACTATTCCTCCTATTGATACCAATGATGGGGCACTATTCCTCCTATTCATATCAGTTATGGGGCACTTTTTCTCCTATTGATACCAATGATGGGGCACTATTCCTCCCATTGACACCAATGATGGGCATTATTCCTACCACTGACACAAATGATGGGGCACTATTCTTCCCACTGACACCAATGATGCGGCACTATCCCTCCCACTAATATCCATTATTCCTCCCATTGACTGATGGGATGCTACCAACTGACACCAATGATGGGCACTATCCCTCCCACTAATACCAATGATGGGGCATTATTCCTCCCATTGACATCAACAATGGGGCATTATTCCTCCCATTGACACCAGTGATGGGATGCTATTTTTCCCATGACACCAATGATGCGGCACTATCCCTCCCACTGAATACCAATGATGGGACACTATTCCTCCTATTGATACCAATGATGGGACACTATTCCTCCTATTGATACCAATGATGGGGCATTATTCCTCCCATTGACACCAGTGATGGGATGCTATTCCTACCAGTGATACCAATGATGGGGTACTGTTTACTCCCACCAACTCCGGGACATTTTCTTCTCCCACTGGCCACAGTCCGGCCCCCCAAAAGTTTGGAGGACAGTAAAGTAGCCCTTTTTTTAGAAAGTATGGAGACCCCTGGTTTAGGCTCACAAATGCTAACATGCTGGTTTGTTTTTTTTGCCATAAAACTTTTCATTTGAATAGAAATGAGCCCAGTAACATTGTAAAAGTCCGACTTGGGCGCACCTTTTGCTCTGTTGGTGTTAGAGCATTTTTTTTTTTCTTTTTATGTGCAATTGATAGCCCCAGCGTGGGCGTGTTTTGTTGCTCCTGTCTTAAACTGTTTATAAATTAATAAAAGTCGGACTGAGCACGTCAAATGCTTTTTCTACTTGGCAGCATACGTGTGCTCTGTTCAGTGCTGTCTCTGTGTGATAAATAAAGCTGTGTGAGGAGTTGGAGCACACGACTAGTATGCATGTAGTGGACTGTGGCTGAGAAAGGGTTATGTGCAGAGGCCCCTCCCCTTCCTCCTCTTCTGCACACGGAAGTGCTGGGCTCAGGAACTCATCAGCTGCCTATGGTGCATGTTGTGTCGCTGTGTGTGTGCAGGGCTGGTGGGCAGTGAGTACGATTGTTGTATGTGTAGGAGAGGTGTGTTGTGTATTAGGCAATGCTGGGTCATGTTCTTATACATAAGCAGTGAAGGATAGCTCCTATCAGAGTGACTGCAATCACATGTAGCACACAGGACCCTGTACTGTCCACCTCCAGCCAGGCTGTGTGTATTGTCATCATCTGTAGATCTCAGGGATCAGGCTGCTTGCAGTAATAGACTCAGTGGGTGAGTGCTGTGTGCTGCTTGCACCTCCTAACGGTATGATGATGGCAGTGCACTGATCATGAGTCTTCTGCTCTGTGAGGTCCCTCTGGCCATGGGGTGGCTTGTTAACCCCCAGATCTCTGACAGCTCAGACTTGGCAGCACGGTCAGCATGGGCAGAGCAGCTGTCTCTGTCTCTACTCCCACCCTACTCCTTGTCCCCCGATCACCCAGTGGATCCCAATATGTGTATCCAGATCCTCCATGAATTTGCTAACAATAGTGGCGATCTGAGCAGCTGTTTGGCAAGCATGGCATGGCCCGTGCGGGTGTGCCAGCATTGTTACAAGGAATACGCACAAATCAAAGCGACAATGAACAAGATCGGAAGTCCTCTGCAGGTTGGTCATTTCATTTCTGTTCACTTCCACAGTTACTGGTTACAGCTTGTGTAAATCCATGACGTTTTGTCAAAGCTCATTTAATAGAGAAATGCCCTAAATTAGACCCAGCACCAGATATTTTTATGGTAACTGTAAGTATTTATAAAGGCATTTTTTTTTTTGATAGAGTAAGGGAAGGTTATAACCTCTGTAAAGTTTATTTCTGCCATCTGTTTCCCATTGGGGAGATTTCACTTCCTGTTCCATAGCCAAAACAGGAAGTGAGAGAAAATCCCTCCAAAGTGAGGGCATGCCTGGTTGTCACCAGGGTCAATGGAAATAGTGGCCACATTGGAAGATTCCTCCTTTATTACTGATCTGGGGACAATTTACACATATATTGTACAATCACAGCAGTCACTGCCCTCAAGTAGCTTACAATCTAAGTTCCTTAACTCACACTTACTAGGGCCAATTTACCTACCAGCATGTCTTTTGGAGTGTGAGAGGAAACCTGCATAATGAGAACATACAAACTCCAGGCAGGTAGTGCTGTGGTTGGGACATAAACCAACAACCCTGGTGCTGCCAGGCAGAACTGCTTAGCCACTGCATTTGGGGTTTTCTTTCACTTTAGGTGATAACAGTACACAAACAAATGCAGAGGGTAATTATCCCCAACAGGCACAGACAGCAATAAAAACTGATAGGTCTTCTAGTTCCTCTCCACTCTATCCAAAGTTTAAAAAAAATTGCCTCTAGTCCTTTATCCACTTCCTATCCAGCCCCTGTATATAAACGGACGGGAGTAGTGCAGGGGTGGGTATTTATAAACGTCTTCCGTGCTTGTGCGCACTCCGATCGTACGGGACATCTGTGTGAGGTCCCCAGTTATGTGATCACTGATTGGCCAATCAATGATCACATGAAGAGTAGTAAGCAAGATGTCACTTCTGACATTATTGCTTACTACTAGTGAAATCTGTGAATGATCACAGAGGTCACATGGTACAAGGCTATTCACAGCAGCCTTGAACCATGTGACAAGCTGTGACCAATCACAGCTCACACAGTATTTTCAATGGCTGCAAGAATGCAGTCAGAGAGAAGGAGAAATGATTGCTTTTACAGCCTTTATGGGTATAAAAGCAATCAGTGTAAAAAAAAAAAAAACACTTCATCCCCACCCCAAGTAGTACAGTGTCACTATGGTGACACTGTACTGCTAGGGTGACAGTATGTTAAAAAAAAAACAAAAAATAAATATTGAAAATGTAAAAACATTTTTAGAAAAATTATTATTTTTGGTTATAAACTAATTTGGGTTATTTGTTTTTACTAAAAAGATAACTGAATACATTTTGGTTTGATTTATGAAGAAAGATTATTTGCAAAATTTTATAAGAAAAAACCCTTTTTTTAAAAAATCTTTGGACTTTTTCATTTATATAGCAAAAAAAAAATCCCAGTGGTGAATAAATACCACCAAAATAAAGTTTTATCTGTCTCAAAAAATGCTAAAAATTCATATGGGTGCAGTGTTGCACGACTGCGCAATTGTCATTCGAAAGTGTGATAGCACAGAAAGCTGAAAATTGACCTGGACAGGAAGGGGGTAAAAGTGTCCGGAATTGAAGTGGTTAACTGTGATGAATGGAAGGTCGCACATCATTGGATACAATTTTATTCAGCCACCACCAGACTGCAAGGAGGCCTGACCCGGTTTTTGGGCAGAGACGTATTGCCGGCCAGTTGTGGATGCATAAAGTTTTATCCAGTGACATCATTGGTGTGCAACCTTCCATTCATCACAGTGACGGTACTGAAAGTGTAGACGGGCTCCATGGTCAGATACGTTTGCATTATATAGCATATATAAGAGAGGTGCAGACCCTTAGTGTGTTGGCTCTGACGAAGAGGCTGAGTCCTCGAAACGTGTTAGCCAGTTGGAAGTCCAGGGTTCCATTTTTTGGACTTAGATGCACTGTGGATTGGACACCACTGTTTAGTGTGATGTGCCTTTGTCTTATATGTCCATTGTGAGTATGATACTTACTTTTTACATGTCTAATAAAGTGTTTGAAATTTTTTAACAAATTGTAGTGCCTATAAAGTCCATGGTTTTTGTCCAATTTGTATTCAATAATTTTGTCCAGTCCATTTTTGGAGTTTTGCGTGGAATGTGTCAGATTTGGCTTTTTGTCTCTACACTTTTTTTTTTGTGTCCTTGTGTCATACCAATGCAAACAAAAGAAATAAACATGAGAATGCCTAAACATTTTGTAATTACAACAATTTTCTGGGCAAAGTGGTGCATTATCTGACAGAAAAGCAGGGGTGCCAATATTTTTGGCCGTGACTGTATATACGCACAAATGTTTTACCTTTTTAATTTCTATTTTGAACTGTGTGTTTTTAGGTGAGGGCTTACATATACTTTAAACTTGGTAGCACTGTTCTAGGTTAAATAGCCTGCTATAGAGGGACTACATCCAATACGTTGCTGCAGTTGCTCCGGTATTGTTACAGCTGACCCCACCAGCTGTCAAAATTCAATAGCAGAAGTGAGAGATTCCTGAATTAACTATCAGGATATGGCCAGGTTTACCCTACAAAGGACAGGCAAAGACTCATGCCAATGGAGTACCCAATGGGTGACTCAGGCTAACAAATTACACCTATAACAAAATATTATGTTTTGTGGAATCAGACCCTAATGCAAATAATGAAGCAGCAAAGCATGCTTATCCCTGTGCCTGTGTGGGTTTCCTCCGTGTGCTCCGGTTTCCTCCAAACTCCAAAGACATGCTGGTAGGTTAATTGGATCCTGTCTAAATTGTCCCTAGTATGTGTATGTATGAATGTAAGTTAGGGACCTTAGATTGTACACCCCTTGAGGTTTAGGGACTGATGTGAATGTACAATATATATGTAAAGCGCTGTGTAAATTGACGGCGCTATATAAGTACCTGAAATAAATAATAAATATTATGCAGAAGAAATAGTGCTTACTCTTTCAATGCAGTATTTTATTATTGCACTTTGCTTGGAGCTTTCATTTTTATTCAGCCTTTGAATGTTTGACTGTGAGGAGAAAATGTGGCAACTTGATGTACACAATTTGTTTCCAAATATTACAGTTTTTCTGTGAATAAGGATCAAGGAAGGAAGTTACAAAGCAAATGATTTATGTTTCCCAGTAGGTCATGTGAAACATTGCAATCTTCCTCTCTGGTGCATGTGACTCTGTTCAGTGTCTGCTTCTGTTTAGTAGCCTGTTTTTTAACCCTTAAATATAGTTTGCTGCCTTGTTAATGTTTTTAGTTCCTTATTCAATAAAAAAAAAAAAGACTTCCAGTCAGACTAAGGTTGCTTATTCTCTTCGCATTTTCATTTTACTATATTGTTCTGTAAGATCTTGGCTTTTTGTTGTCATTTCTAATGTTTCTATTTACAGAATAGCAGCACAGTAAGTTGTGGAACCACACTGCTTCGCTCTGATAGGGTTCAAGTTATTGTTGCTCTTTATAATTTCTTTGATGATGTGTGGACTGCTTCAAAGTGTGCAAGTGAGTATTGCATAATCTGACTTAGTTTCTGTTATTTCTATTTTAACATTTTATTACAACTTTTTCTTCTGGTATTCACCTATTTATTAACATGCAAGGCCTATTACATATAGAGTGTAAGGAAATTCTATCAGGTGTTTTATTTTTTTTTATTGCTGGCTGTCCCCATTGGGGAGATTTTCCTTTACGTCCTGCCTTGGTGACACTTGCTGAGTGAATAGGAAATGTGGGAATCTTCCCATCAGGGACATAAACAACATAATAAACCCAATACAGGTTCTAACCCTTGTATACTGTACTTATAAACTCCTTTTTTTTTTTTTTTTTTTTTCTATTGTCTGTTTTCATACTTTTTTTTTTTTTTTTTTTTCCAATTTAAATATTTATTAATTTTTAAACAGAGTTATACAAACATACTCATTAAAACCTTAGCATATTATCAAAACATTTATCGTTTCATCCCTTCCCCCCCTCCCCCCTATATACCACCCATCCCCCCCCCCCCCCAGTGGTGTATTTAGGTTTTGTGCTGCCCTAGGCAAAACAAAAATCGGACACCTCCCACCTGAAATTTTGAGCAACAACACCCCTATACCCCCCACGGAGAAATCACTCACCTATGCAGCTCTGGACATCCGCAGGAACGACAGTTGGGCTCTGAGCCTTTCTCAGCTCCCACTTGGTCCCCATGCCGCAAGTGTCCCTTCTTCCAGGGGGCAATGCTGCTCCCCTGAAAAATGCCACCCCGGGCAACTGCCTTGTTAGCCTTGTGCTAAATACACCCCTGCCCCCCCGTCCAATCCCTGACCCCTTCTGCTCTGCATTTTCCTGTTCATTTCTGGAGATCGTAATCCCTGTAAAGGAAGAACAAAATATGTTTCCATATTATTCTATGTTAATCCCCCATAACCTCTAAGGCTAGCCTTGACTTTTTGAATTCCTCCCATTTGTTCCATCTTGTATGGTGACTCTCCATCTTATCTTCATTCAAATGATAAAGTTCCTCCAATTTACATATTTGATCCACCCAGTTGAAATGTTTTCATAACCATTAACAGAAAGAGAGAGGATTTGGCGAACTATTATGGGGAAAATGGCAATGGCAGCAGTAGGAACCTGACTGAGATTCTAACCCTTGCCCAGTCTATGAAAACATTTAGAGGAGTTCAGCTTGTAGTTTTACAGCAATTTAGGCTAGAATGAATTATCCTTGTAAGGCTGCAAGCACATAGGATATATCAAAGTCTTACAGTCCTGCCTCACTGAGCACATGGCCATGATTGTAGCTGCCCAGGACCTGCTGGCAGTTGGACAGTTTAAAGCTGGTACACACGGGCCAAAAAATGGCTGAAAACGGACTGTTCAGCAGGAACCTGCTGACTTTCAGCTCGTGTGTACAGCTGCCTGTCCAACAGAAGCCCGCTCTTACAACTAGCTTCTGTGAAACAAGCATGCTGGAAACCAGCAACTGATCAGTGCTCGCAGTCAATTGCTGCAAGCACTGCTCAGTGTGTTGTGGAGGGGGCAGTCCCCTTGTCAGAACACAGTATCTCAGCGGGGAAGATTACCACACTAACATTGCATAGGTAGTACAGCAGCCTCTGTTTTTCTTCGCTGGGTTGAATGAAATAAACTTAACGTGTGTACCTAGCATTACTCTTAACTGTGTGCAGCTGTGTGCAGCTCGGTTTGTACTGATAAGCAAAAACAGGTGTTTCTATGTTAGTGCTAGTTAAAATGTAAGCTTAAAAATATATTGTACCTAGTGCAGTTATCAGGAGCAACTAATTACAGTGTATCTCTCCTGGGACTCCCTCTCTCCATTGGCTCCCACTGCTGTCTACTACAGCTAGAAGAGGGGGGTGGGGCCAAACCACAGCTCCATGTGTGAACAGACACATGGAGCAGTGGGTGCCCCCATAGCAAGGTGCTTGCTGTGGGGGCACTCGATGGAAGGAGAGGCCAGGAGTGCCGTCAGAGGAGAAGAGGAGGATCCGGGCTGCTGTGTTGAAAACCAGTGCACACAGCAGGTAAGTATAGACATGTTCGTTATTTTTTTTTCTTTTAAAAAAAAAAAAATAAGCCTTCAGAATCACTTTAAACTTCAAATTCTGCTGTTCCGGTATTGTTTGGTTCTTTCCCCATCTGCAATGGCAGCATAATGACCCACCACCTGGGTGGTATGTTTTTCACAGCCTGGACTCAAAGGAAGTGGGTTTGATGATAGACATCAATCAACCCTGAAGAGGACTGGCGCTGGATCTCAGAGTGGAGAGTCTGTGGGAAACGGACATTAAAAAAAAAAATAAAAACCCCTTAATTTCTTTTTTGTCATAGTTTCTTCAAAAACAGTTGTGATGTCATGATAAATGAAAATTGCAGAATGCGTTATAGTAACACCGAGAAGCCCACATTCATTGCTGGTGAATCAGTCACTGTCATTTTAAAATACAGGCACCTAGAAGATTCACCCGCAGTAAGTGTCAGATTCACTGCTTTAAGAATATGCCCCTAGTTATTTTAACATTTTTATTGGTCAAACTAGAAAAAAACATACAACATTCACTGCTTTAATAATATGCCTCTAGTGGTTTTAAAATTATTACTGGTCAAACCTAGAAAAAAATATTTATGTTTTTACTTTTTCCTTAAAATCTAGAGACCTATGTAATACCTACAAAACACTTTCAAAAATAGTAGTAAGTGATAGTTATTGCCTATATGTGAGAAGTGAAAATAGCTATGGAGCATTCGTTTTTTTGTTGTTTTTTTTTTGCTGGGATATAGAGATTTTTCATGTTGCTTGTGCTAGGAAGAACAAACAATTTTCCAATCTCCTAGCAGTTTTTTAAAAGGGTGTACATTGCCTGTGGCACATGTGTAGTGCACTATACTCTGGGTTCGGTGCCCGAAATTCAGCAAGATATCTGGAATGCAGCTGCCTGGCAGGGACAATGGAGTTGTTCTGGTAGGAGTTCCATCAGAAGCGATTGCTAATAAGCTGAGATCCAGGCCCATTAAAACTGTTGGGGAAGGTGGCACTGCCAGTGAAGGGAGTCATGAAGGACAGCTTGGATCTGTTATAGCTGGAGTAGCAGGTGAGTACAGTTCTGCTTCTGTTGGCTTTACCATTCCTACTATCCATACCACCAGGGTGATTTCCTGCACAGAATCATATCAGATTTCCCTATATTATCATTAATAAATGGTAACCTCTACTTTAGCCTTAATTTCATGGTTGTGGCTATAATGTAAGTTTTATGTTATTTGATTCCTATTTCTAAATATATGACTAAAGTGTTCAAATAATATAGGTAATGTTCCAGTATGTTGCTTTCATTTCCCAGGTTGCTTGCAGACAGACGAACAACACAGATGTACTGAATACCACGGCTGAATTTATGAACTTATTTGATCAGTTGATGCACTGTTTCAACAGCTCCTTGGTAAATTCTCTACTTTTCATTTTCAGACTATTTTTGGTACTGTATATACCGACCAGTTTGGTACCTGTTTTTTGCATATATTTTTTTTCTGTATAATTAAACAGGCCTGATAATGCCTTGCACTTATAAGATTTGAGATAGTAAGGATTAGGAAGTGACACTTTTACTGTTACTGTTTCTCCTTAATGTTTGGAAACCAAATACTTGCCAGGTTTGTTTCGAATAAGGTTTGCATGTTTGTCCAGTGGTTATCACTTCTACCCTGCTGTCCTATTCCTACTGGGGCATTGTATTCATAAAATGTTTGATCTAGCTTTGTTATTATGAATTTGCTCTGGGTGCTCCAAACTCCTCCCACTATCTGTGTGCGTCTGTTGCAGGGACATTCGCTTAGAAGTTTCTTTGGGGCAGGAGTTGATGTGGCTAGTCCAGTGTCTCCAGTCTGTTACAGAATTCCCTGTCATAGCATACTAGAATCTGATGTTTTATTAACCATCGATAATGTGGAAGGCTTGGAGCTTAAAGTGTTACTAAACCCACAACAGTAAAATCAGTCTGTATATGCAGTAAAGCATGCTTGTTATACTCACTGTGGAACTAAGGGGTAAATCTCCACATTGTTGAAAAAGGCAGTTTGATCCTGTATTCTCTGATTTCCCCCCCCCCCCCCTTTCTTCTACTGTCCACAATCCATTTTCTGATAGCACAGAGCTCTTTGAGTCACTCTGCATATGCGCTGTTTGGTGTGTATGGCTAGAGAGTTGTGTGTTTTTTTGTTTTTTGTTTTTTTCCCTTTGGGAGGGTGCATGTGATCGGCACAGGGCCAATCAGCACTGTCCAGACAGAGGGTCAGGGGTTATGCAGCCTCATAGGACAGTCAGGAGAGAATGAAAACTCCTCCTACCAGATTAACCAGTGCTCAGCTGGACACTGATAGTCACAAGACTGCTATATACTGCTGATGAGAAAAGGTATTTAGCAGTTTGTATTTACTAAAATAATAGCATTTCCATATTCTGTGTATTGTGGGAGACCGGGTATAGTGAATGCAGGGTCCTCGGTTTAGAAACACTTTAAAGATACAGCAACCTCGCCTATACAGGACAAAGTATCAGTGCCTTTTTAAAGGGTCCTCAGCTTTCTGGTTATACTCGCCGCACCTGCCCTCCCTTGTAGCTCATCCCTGATGCAGCTGGCACTGGTGTCAGATGCTATTGGAAGTTAAGACATTGTGTGCTCTAGTCTACTAATTGGCTGCTGGACCTGAGCACTATTACATGTGAAGCATTTATATGCTACCTCATATCTAGAAGCACATGGTATTGTTGCTGGCAGCGAAAAGAGCTCTAGTAAGATGAGTACAACTGGTATGGGTCCTTTCTGAATACACTATCACTGCCATGAATGAGGTAACAGTGTGTTTTTTTTAAAAAGAAGCATGGGATTAAAAAAACACACACACTTACTTAACTAGGTGAATGTAGCATTGGTCCCCCACCACCTCTAAAATGGAGAACTGAGCCTGTCCATGCATCTGAGTGAATTCCTACATTAAAGTCAGGATTTTGCCAGAGTCTGCACCGGCTGACTGACGTTAGCCAACAGTGGACTTAATCCCACTGTCGGCTGAATCTGGGTCACAGGAGTGCAAAACTAAGTGCACTCTTTTGGCCCACAGAAGTACGGCCAAAAGAGCTTGGTCCTTCTCCTGTTTAAGTGATGATACTTGGAGTGATCTAAACCCAAAAACATTTTAATATATTGCAACTTACCAGTCCATAGGTCTGGTGGCTGCATTAGTGGTTCCCGGGCATTTTTTCTTACCCTAACATTTGCACATATCCTGTCCCAGTTTGACAACGCTCACATCTATGATGGAGCACCCTGGGACAGGGCTACAGAGCACCTCCCCTCTTATTCATATTAAATAGACCTCAGATAACTGGGAACAATGTAACTGATAAGAGTGCTGCACAGACAGTTCTCCAACTCCTAAACTATCCACACCCTATAGAGTGTGTTAGCTCTGTATAGAAATTAATAACATTTCTAAGCTTGGAATCACAGTTCTCTGATCATTCCATGTTTTGTTATATGTCTGGATTTACAGTGTATTTATATAGATTGATAATGGTGGATACTAATCTATTAGAATAATTGAAATTATTGTTTGTTTTATTACAGGGACCAGATCATGGCAATTTTTCAAATGTTTGCCGTCTTTGTAATGGTAGCTACGGGCGTCTTAATAATCTGTACACTGTATTAGAACATGGCAACCAGCTGTGTATCGATTTAGAAGATGCTGTAAGTAATAGCAGTTTGTAATTCATTGTTACAGTATAAAAATATATACCAACCTACTACATACAGCATGTAGTTGTTAGATTATCAGTATGGTGTTTTTTTTGTACATGTTTAAAAATCATTGTAGGCCTGAAGATAACCCCGATTTACGAACGAGTTCTGTTCTAGGAGAACGTTCATAAATCGGATTCGTTCGTAAGTCCGACAAAGTGAGTCTTATACACCTTTGACACAAATATACAATGTAAAGCATAACAAAAAAAAGCACATAAATACTGTAAATAAACTATTTTTACTTTTACAGTTTCCTTCAAATGGTGGTATAGTATAGCACAACTGTAAATAAACTATTTTTTACTTTTACAATTACCTTTAAAATGGTGCTACAGTACAACTGTAAATAAGCTTTTTTTTACTTTTACAGCTGTACTGTACTACCATTTTAAGGTATAGTAACTGTAAAAGTATTTTTACTTTATCAGTTACCTTTAAGATGGTGGTAAAGTACAGTACCACAACTGGCAAATAGTGGAAGAGAGTTACTAACTGCAGGAGGGAGGATAGGTGGGACATGGTGGAGCTGAAGGATCATCAGCAATAGGAGATGGAGGGCAAGATGGATTTTGTCCCACACCTGATGTTGATGTTGTTGGAGCTGAAGGATCATCAGCAATAGGAGATGGACGGCAAGAAGAAATTTGGCCCATACCTGATGAAAGAGCTGAAGGATCATCAACAATAGGAGATGGAGGGCAAGATGGAATTTCACTCGCACCTGATGTTGATGACACAGTTTTTTTTGATGGATTCAATTCTGTCTACCTTCTGGAAAAAAATATCCAGTGATGTCTCAGTAATAGCTCTTTTTTTTTTTTTTCTCATCATAGATGAGTCTGTAGCACTGGATGGCATTCTGAACAGCTACTGTAACCTTTATGTATAGTTCTACGTTGGGGTTCTGTGCCTCAAAAACTAACAGTGCCTTTTCAAGTAAAGAAAATCCCCTTGCCATTTCCTGTGTTGTGAATCTCTTTTTGGTTCTTCAGTTACATCTTCTTCTTGGCTCTCTTCGTCTTTTCGCTGGGCCTCTAATTCCATCAGTTCCTCATTACTAAGCTCCTCATGTTGCACAGCAAGGAGTTCAATGAAGTCGTCCTCTTGCAGATCTAGCTCCAGCTTCGTGCTAAGGGTCACTAAGTTGTTGAATACCTCTTTGGACTCCTTACCCATCTTCTCAAGTCCATGAACTTCATGGACAAACTGAGGGCAAAGGTTCTTCCAAACTCCATTCATGATGACAGCCGAAACCTCACGACAAGGAAAGTTGATGTTTTTTATGGCCTTGTAGATGTTATAGTCCTTCCAAAATTGTCGCAAGGTTGTTCCTGTTTCATCAATAGCCTTCACTGCCTGATGAAAAGTGTGACGTAAATAATATTTCTTGAAAGTTGCAATAACTCCTTGGTCCATAGGTTGGATGAGCGCCATAGTATTCGGTGGCAGATGCACTACTTTGACGTTGGGATGAAAGCATCCATGAATTGGGGGTGACCTGGTGCATTGTCAAGCAGCAAAAGAATGTTGAATGGGATATCTTTCAATATTTCTCTATCTCTGGGATAAAGTGGTGGAAAAACCAGTCCTGGAAATGGCCTGTGTAACCCAGGCTTTGGAGTTACTCTTCCACACAACAGGTAGAGAGCCCTTGGCTATGTTTTTGAGGGCTCTTGGGTTCTCTGAATGGTAAACTAAGAGAGGCTTTAGTTTCATATCACCGGAAGCATTGCCATCAAACAACAGAGTAAGTCTGTCCTTTGCTGCTTTGAAGACTGGCATCACCTTTTCCTCTTTACTAATGTAACTTCGTTCTGGCATCCTCTTCCAGTACAGTCCTTTCTCATCGATGTTAAAAACCTGTTGGGATAAATAAGAACCTTCATCAATAATTTCTCTAAGTGTTGCTGGAAATTCTTGGGCAGCTATGATATCTGCACTCACAGCCTCACCACTTACTTTTACATTGTGAAGGTTGGCTCTTGAATAAGCATTAAGCTGAGTGAGACTCAATGCTAATGCTGATCTTGCATCCACACACTGAGAAGTTTCTCCATCTCCTCTATCACTTTACCACGCTCTTTGGATATTATTGTTGACTTCATAGGCACAGCAGACTTTACATGTTCTATGATCTTGGCCTTGTTCTTTAGAATTGTGCCAGTGGTTGAACGTTTCATGTTATAAGAACAAGCGATGTCTACCATATTTTTGCTATGGTCCAAGTTCTCCATTATTTTCACTTTTGTTTCCAAGGTTATTGCTTTGCGCTTCCTAGCAGTCCCCTCCACATCACCACTGCTTTTCCTCTTGCTTACGGACATCCTGGGCTCTGTACAGTAGACTATCGCACTGTACACTATCACACTGTACAGTAAACACACCGCAGCAAAACTGTGACAATGTGCAGCTGTGACAATGTCCGGCAGACATGTGAGCTACTTCCATGATTTGTTTGCATCTATGAATGTTCGTAGTGCGAGGTCCGATCTTATCTGTGTAAGTTCGCAACTCGAATGTTCGTAAGTCGGGGACTTGCTGTACATGATATTGTTTCTGAAAGTAGGCACTCTGGAGAATAAAATAGTGGTAGTTTAAATTCTTTACATTACATGATATTAGCACAATGGTTTTCCAAGCAAAAAATTTCAGTAAAGAAATACAATAAAGTTAATTTTAGGGCACACAAATTAAATATATAGAAGATGAGGTTGCAGTAAATGGATACCCAGCATGCTCAGCCTTAAAGCTGTGTGTGCCTGTGAAATGGTGACACACTTTGGTACTCTATTTTCCATATTTGCATATAGTGACGCTTTAAAAGCCCTTACAAGTCACCAGTTTAGAATTAACTCTGAATAGTGGGCCTGGAATTATTGCTGTCACTCCAGTGTGCAGAACAATATGTAACATGTAGCGACAGTTTCATGCGTAGGTGCACTGATGTGTTAACATCTGTAAGTGTGTATATGTGGGGGGACTCTTTTTTTTTTTTTTTTTTTTTTTTTTTTTTTTTTTTTTTTTTTTTTACGCTTTACACTTTTTTTCACTAAACTTTATAATCACATAGGGGAGAAAGTTTTTGGGTGACAGGTTCTTCTTTCTGAGACATCAGGAGTCTTTTAGACCCTGATGTCTCAACTGCCCTGTTAAAACTAATGTAGCGCAGATTGTGCTTCATTAGTTTCTTCCCCAGCCAGTCTAGCTAGGTAAAAGACAGCCTGACCCAGAAGAGATGTTTTACAACTCGTTTCAAGGTTCTTAGTGGGAAGAGGAGATTGGTTTCACTGATAGTTGGAGAGCGTCTGCTGATGTCCATCCCCTCTAACCATTGGCATCTGACATGCCGATCCCTTGTCTGCCAATGGGAGCATGGAGCCCAGGAAGCAGGGCAGAACTGTGCACAGGGGAGGACGAGCTGTTGCTGGTGTATGTGGAAGCAATCCGGCAGCTGTACAGCCACCCATTCCATTCTGTCTGACAACTGACTTGTCAGATTTACATATATACACATGTGTAAATAATTGTTTCATAGTAATTAATAAAGTGCATAAAATATTCAGATTACTGTGATTTGTCCATGTAGGGCAAAGCAATGGGTTTACTATAATGCAGATCTGGAGTACAAGTCTCTGAAGTCTTAGTTTACACTGGGCTATGGACTTCCTGTGTGATGCTGCTGATGTGCTACACAGACCCGCAAAAAAAGACCTAATAATACACAGGACAGGTAGACTGGTGAAAAGATTTGTGTAAATACACTATTTCTGTCCGCTCTGGCGCAGTCACGTGATGCAGAAGATCCCATTTTGCCTTTACCATGGAGCAGCTGCTGCAGGGGAGAGGAGAGATCGCTAAGAATCAGTGGTATTAAGAAAACTTACTTGTAGTCTTTGCTTATACTTTAATCAAAGCTGGGAGTTGCTGTGTACATAGAGCAGCTCTAACAGCTGCTGCAGTCAAAAAAAAAAAGCGGTCTGACTTTATCAACACATTAAGCCCTGGTTCACACTGGGTGCGACTTGGGAGGCGACTTGCAACATAGTCACATGACTGGTGAAATCACATTCTGTTCTGTTTGCTGTGACTCCTGCATGAATTTTACCCCTTAGACTTCTATGCTATCTCACAGACGTCACATCAACGATCTCCCGTTGCGATCGGGACCTTTTCCGATCATGTGACTGCCGTGACAGCAAATCACGATGGTCACATGACCCTAAAACCTCGCCTCCCGGCTTCTGAAACCTCTTAAAGGGCCTGGAGGCGCCAGCGCAAAAGGGTTAAGTTCAGTGGAGTTTTTTGTTTGTTTTTTTTTAACTCTCGCCTCTCCTCCTTGGTCATCCTTGCTGCCTAAAAGCTCTCTTCCCAAGAAAATTCCATTCAAACCTGAATTTAGAGGAAACGCACATTCAGTATGTTGTTTTTTGCATGCATAGAGCACTTGAATGGGCTGCCCTATGCACGGCAAATGCCCCAACGTAGCTTAAGAACCTTTTCAGCTGTAGAGCATTGCATGTTTTCTTGCGCGACAAGACGTGTCTGCTAAGCACAACTGGGGTGTCATTGCAGTTTAGCCTAAATTCCCATCTGCGCGTTTTCAAATGTGCGGCAACCTGTACAGAATACACGTGCTTTGCCATTATGACGATGCAAGCATGATGTACATTTTGTGTGAATGCAGTCTAATTATTAATGACATCCCACTTGCGATTAGTATGCCAAGCAAGCATGATGCACTTTTGCAGCACGTTTCCGAAACCCATGGCAAAGAGTGTTGATTTTGTGCAGGTTATTGTGTGTTCAGTAAAGTGCAGCTGTGATTGCATGGCAATGCAAGTGCGATGTGCGTTTGCAGTGCGTTAGAAACACACGGAAAAGTTTGCAGATTTTGTGCCAGTTGCCATGTGTTTGAAAACGCAAAAATATAAATGCAGCGTAATTGTTGATGACACCTGTGTTTTTAAATACCTAAAGTTCAAGTATATCTAAAGGCAAAACTTTTTTTAGTTTTGGATAGAGTGGAGAGGGATTAGAAGGCTTGTCCATTTTTATTGCTGTCTGTGCTGCTGTTAAGGAGATTCATCCTCTCTATTTGTCCTGTTTACCATTACCATTTAAAGTAAAAGAGAATCCCACATTTTGGTTGACCCCAGAAGTAGGGGAAATATTCCAATGGGGACACTAGGTCTAGTGACCTGGAATTCCTTGGGGACCCCCTTAATTTTCCGGGGGTTTCCTCTCACTTCCTGTTTGACTTTCCACAATAGGACATAAATGGTGAAAAAAAAATCTCAAAGGGGTTATAACCCTCCCTTACTTTATCCAAAATGAAAAAATGTTTTGTCAATAGTTCTACTTTACTTATTTACCAACACTTTAAACATGTGAAAACAGATCTATGTATTACCTATTATCTATGTTGTTATTTCAGATGAACAGCACTCGTAGTCTTTGGAGTGGAGTTTTCAACTGCACATTGCCCTGCACAGACACTGTTCCAGTGATTGTAGTTACAGCATTCATCCTATTCCTGCCTACCGTTTTCTACTTAGTTGCCATCCTTCATTCTGAGCAACGGAAGCGTAAACTGATAGTAGGTAAGTATCGCATATAACCATATATAATGTGTGGCAAACAGAAACAAAGCTATATAATTTGAAACCTTTTTTTTTTTTTTTTTTTTGCCTGCTATCTATGATTTGTACAGGATAGTTCTACGTTTCTTGTAGTACATTTTGGAGATAATGTCCTTTCTTTCCATTGTTCGAAAATATTCCATATAATCTTTTTGGACTGAAACTTCTTTGCCAAACAATACTTGTGCAAAGCATAAGTAAACATTTGGTTGAAACTAAGGATTGTGAAACAGGAATGCCACTTGTGTCAAGTGAGACTAGGACAACATAGATTTAGGGCATAATAATCCCTTTTTATTTCACAGAGTAGGTTCACAACAGATGTACCTATTGCATATATAACTGGTATTTTTTAAATATATAAACTGTCTCTGACCTGTTTCCACTATGCACTCACTCGACTGTGGACCTGTCTTCATTTTCTTTATGCACAATATTATTATTATTATTATTATTATTATACAGGATTTATATAGCACCAACAGTTTGTGCAGTGCTTTACAAAATGAAGGCAGACATTACAGTTACAATACAATTTGGTACAAGAGGAATCCGAGGATTGTCCTACGTTTTTGGCTTTAAAGTGACTGTAAACCCTCACCTTGTAAAACAACCCATTCACTTTTTAAAATAGAAATGAAAGGTAAAACATTTGTGTGTAGATATAAAAAAAAAAAAAAACTATTATAGATAATTTTCCCTCCTTTGTTTATAAGTGATCACATACCCTCTGTTCTCAGATGCATAAGAGCTGGGGGAGGAGAAACAGCAGTACACTGGTCTTCCCAGTGAAAGTCTGTGCAGGAGGGGGGCTGTCAGCAGAAGTCTGATCATTGGAGGGGAAGAGTCTGGTTTCCCAGCACAGCTAGAGAACTGACCATGCTTTGCTCTGAATAGGAAAGCAGAAGCACTGGCGGGAACACTAGGGATTTCACACAAAGCAAGTAATACAAAGAACAGGACACATGGAACGCAGGTACATAGTATAGCAGGCACATATCAGGAATATGAAGTGTTTACATATTCTTTATGTAATAAAGCCAGTGGGTGCAAATAACAGCCAGGCAACTAACATTTTCAGAAAGAGGTCAGCAATGACTTCACCCATGTTTCTTTAAGGAAAGGATCACCTTAATCTCAGTGACATCTCCTCTATCAACAACCCTGTTGGTCATATGTGCAAGCGAACAGGTTCAGGGGCAAACATTTTGAGAAATGTGGCAATCACACATATCCCCTATTTCCGTGACACTCTATTCTGAATGGCCAGATGCAGTTGTGTTCTATGTTGAGCAGCCATAATATCATGTTCACCTTAGCGGGCTCAATACTCAAAGGAATGTGGAAAGTCAGCATTGTTACTGGGATCATTGACCGCCAGTTAAGGAGTTTCTAACCCTACTGCACTAAACATCTCAGACTAGCATTTAGAATACATTTTCCTCCTACAATTTGTCATTTTCTGTTATGAAACAACATAAGATGAAAGTAATTATTATGGTAAGGGGGTAAAACATGAGATTAAGATGTGAGTTACAAACTTGTGGGTCCCTTACACACTGGGCCTTTCAGCTACAGTCCACCCCCCCAGCAGAACAGGGCCCTAAGTGCCAGGACCACTCTGTACAGTGTTCAGCCCTGTCCATTGCAGCCTGCCATAGACTTTGACTGGCTGGATGCTGCACCTGTCCCTGCCAGACACACTGCAGCTGAACGTCTATGTGTGCAGGGGGGCTATGGCTACATTCACACTGTCACTCTTGTGTTTAGCTTTTCTAATAGCAGGAGAGGTGATCAGAGAAGTTTAAACAAATTTTATGCCTCCCAGGTCACTGTTTCTTCTGTTTAGATATTCCTGCTTTTAGGTGCGTTTAAACACATTTAGCCACATTTAGAATGTCTAATCGGATTCTGGATGAACAGAATTCTATTTTTTCTCTAAAAGAAGGCGAATGGCACCTTGGAAAAAATCATTACAAGCTTTTATATGCATTTGGAAATGCCCTCTAACCGCATATAAACACAATGCCAGTGTGATTGAGGCCTAAGGCTCTATTTAAATCTGTGAATAATGCATTGCTAAACATTTGTTACTGCAACACACAGTGAAGCACGAAGTGTAGTGTGAAGTTAATTTTGGTGTCTTTTATTTATAATGGCAACCAAAGGCACCTAACTTGTAAATAGGTTTTAGAGCTCCACAAAACATAGATGAAAAGAGTCTGTGTTGTGTGCTGTGGTTAAAAAAATAAAAATGCCACAGGTCTGTTTACACATGCATTGTGCAGTATTGGCAGTGCATTCAAAATGAATGGGCTGGCTTACTGCAGCATACTTTAAGGTGCATGTGGTAATGTACTCCAAAAGTCATAAGATGGCCATTTGCAGTCCTTTTAGTGCGAGCAGTCGCAAGCAAGCAAGTATTGATTACTAAACACACATGGTATTGTTCTGCATTTGTAATTGATTTAAAAAATATTAATACAGTCCATCGATGATATTTTTCTTTGTGAATTTAATGTGTCTCATTGTGTTTAGTTTGTTCTAATGATAAATTGAAGGAGCAAGTTTAGGGGCTGTCATCCTGATCTATTCTATACTACTTGGACACAGGATGTGCCTGTGATATGCCCGGAAACCTGATATGCATATACTTGATTTAGGTCAGAGACTCTGTACTAAAAAATGCAAAAGGTAGATGACAGCCCCGGAGCATGCAAGCACAAAAAAAAAACCCAGCAGTGGCAGCTTCCATAATTAAGTCCTTTTTTTTTTTTTCTTTAACCTGACCCTTTAGAATACCTAGAATATTTAATCCTTACCAAACTTGAACCTTAACCCTTATTTTCAACCTAATCCCTAAATTAACATTTGCGCTTACCCTGTCCTTTACCCTTTTAAGATAAACTCAAGGTAGATATAGGAGCCACAGATTCATGCAGTCCTGTTTTTATTCATACATGTTTAAAAGAGAAGTAGGGCTTTTCTTTTTTCTTTTCCCCTATTTATATTTATCTCCTAGATTGTAAGCTCGAAAGAGCAGGGCCCTCAATCCCCTCATGTTTTGCATTGTATAGGTATTGTTCTGTCACATGTTCTGTCCCCCTTTGTAATGTACAGCGCTGAGCGAACTATTGGCGCTTTATAAATACTGTATAATAATCTAGGTGGATGCAGCATCAGTCCAGTGTTGCATCTGTCCCCCGCCAGCTCTAAGGGTAAAAACTTTGCGATCACATGATCGCTGAGTTATCACAGCTGCTATGAGCAGAGTGGGACTGTCAGTCACCGTTCTCTGCTTAGCCCCCTCCCAGTGCTGACTGGAGCACTGGGCTGTGAAGGAGGATGGAGCAGCTGGCTCTGGATCTCAAAGCTTTGTTGAGAGGCTGAGCCAGGTGCTGCTCCAGACTGTGGGGCGGATGCCGACATTGAAGTCTGGACCTTTCCCCAGCCTGGATCGGCTGAGTGATGCCAGCGGACGTCGGTCCTCTGCCAGTGGATGTCGGGTCACAGGAGTGCAGAACAAACTGCACTCCTGTGATCCACGGGAGAAGTACAGCCAAAAAAGCTTTGGGTGACATCACCGCTCCCAGGCATTTCAGCCATTTTCGACTGCTCTTTCCCTGTAGCCAGCCACTGACTAACATGAGTGATCGCATGGCTGGACTGGAGCGGCATGAAAATAGGTAAATATATACTTCCTTCTTATACAGATTAGTCAACATAGGTGTTAGGGAGGGTATTAGGAGGGGGAGGGAACATTATTAGGATTAGTTAGGGTTTAGCCTGGAATTTCACTTTTAACTGCAGCTGAGAAAAAGGTCTCAGGTCTTCTATACTGCTAGACAAGTAGTTTAATGTTAACCCTAAGAATTCATCTCTTTTTGATTTGTTTTTGGCTGTTAAATATATCCTTGACAGGGCCGTGCTATGGCTATTCAATAATCTCAAGAAAAAATAGTTTTCGATCATGTCAGGATATCGGATTTGTCTTGTGCACACTTCCTATGTTATTTCAAGAACCGACTTAGCCCTGCTATTGCTTATCTTTAACTTTAACTCAACAATTAGACCTGATGTTATGGAAATTAGGACAGTGGAAGGGTTTCAGTAGCTTAGGCAAAAACAGCTGGTAAGGGCTGATCTTATTCAGTTCACAAAATTGCTGTTTTGTCAGCCCACAAGAAATTGTGAGCTTAGTGCATTTCTGCCACATCAACAGGTATTTTTTTCCTTTATTTTGCAGGGTCTTTAAAAGGATAAACCATAGGTAAATGTGCATGCATTGCATTTAAAAAAAACAAACAAACCCTTACATGCAACCCTTATACCCTAACTCTAACTTTAGCCAAATCCCTAAAATGGCTGGAATACCCTGGAATAGCACAGACATCTCCTTTTCCCTGCCTCTAAAGAGTCAGCAATGTACACTGCACTAAAAAAACCACAATGTGCCACGCTTCACTTCAAAAGTAATATGTGTATCCAATCACTAATATTTTTAATGCATATCCAAATATATAAATGAATAAAAATATATACAATTGTGCATCCAGTTATAGATCAAAATAAATGAAAAAGTGAATGAACCACCTCAAATATATGACCAAACCGTTAAGTAACGCTTGTGTCCCTTTAAATGGGCCAAAGTATGGATGGGATGGTATCCTGCTCTTTGGTCATATATTTGAGGTGAGAGCACAACCGGTGGGGGAGCACGTTTATGCAAGTTATTCGCAATAAATACTTTTTAGGAAGCATGGGATATTATACGCTAAAGCAAAGTTTGCACGTTTGAAGAAACTCATATATGGATTTTTCTTTTGACTGCTTATAACAATCATATGGACACTGTTGTTGAAAATCATCATTGGTTCATTCATTTTTTTCAATTATTTTCATATATAACTGGATGCACAGTTGTGTATTTATTTTTATTCATTTATATATTTGGATATGCATTAGAAATATTAGTGATTGGATACACATATTACTTTTGAAGTGAAGCGTGGCACATTGTGGTTTTTCTTTTTGGTTTGTTTTGACACACTAGTATGAGTATGTGTTAGGTGCAGGCGATTCAAAATTAGCACTTGTTAAGATTTATTATTCACATAGCAGCTTACACGTTTTTAAGGTACACTGCGCTGCTCCCACTGTGTGGGTAAACCACAGCACATCAGTGTGAAAGCAGCCCTATACTATTATGTCAATGTATTGCTTCACACTGACCTGAAGATCTCTGATTTCCTGCTGCTGGCACCACTCTGGAGACTGCTAACTGGGATAAAAGGTGGAGTGCAGTTGGTATCACTACCTATGAGACAGGAGCCAGCACTACAGTGGAGGTATCGGCTTATGTGGCTCTTGTTTCCTACATCAGCTCCAACTTTACAAGTAGTCCCTCTGCATTGCACTCTGATTCTCTGGGATGGTGGGTCAGCAAGCCCTGACTACGATCTTATGGTTGCTGTAAAACTTTATATAGGGGTAAAATTACATTTCTTGTCCTTGGGTCTGTGATACTTAATACAGAATGTATTTGGTTTTCTGTAAAAGCTGTTCTACAAGAACACTTAGATCCTTCACCATCAATGATTCCATAGTAGTTCTTCCTCTAGATTGTATAAGTCCATGTACTGTATGTGTTTTTTTTTGCCTCCAAGTGCATACATTTTATATTTTTATCTACACCTTAAAACCAAATCCTCATTTGCTGTGTAGTTGTCAAACGGGTCAGTTAAAAAAAAAAAATAGAGGTTATCCCTACATAGTTTTGTTCCTCTTGCAAATACAAAAATGGTACTTTTAATCTAGATCTCTATATCAAGTATAAATAGGTTAAAAATAATGGTACTTTTAAATCCTAAACTCTGTCATATGTGTGTGTATATATAGGTTAAAAAAGTAAGGGTGTTTTTAATCCTAAACTTTATATCATGTGTATAGGTTAAAAAAATTTAAGTAACAGTCCCAACACTGAACCTAGGGGTATACAGCTAACAACCTTAGACAATTCAGAGTATGAATCCTTAGTCACAATGCTTTTGTGCTGATTTTTCACCCACATAATTTGTTTTGTTATTGACCTTAACACCCTGGTCACATTGGGTGTGACTTGGCATGCGATTTGCATGCCATGTGACTTCTGTAATTGTTAAACTAAATAAGTGCATACATATGCCCTATGAAGACCCTCACCCCATCTGAAGGGCCCTTATGTATTCACTTATTTAGTTTAATTATTACAGTGTTTCATTTAAAATTTTTGATCATTTTTCAGAGGTGTGAAGGTTTCCATAGTGCTCATAAAGTTTTAAGGGTTCACCTAGCGCAGTATCCATTTGAATTTTAGCCTTTTAAGAGATATATATATATATATATATCTTATTTATATATATATATATATATATATATATATATATATGGCAGCACAGGGGCTAAATGGTTAGCACTTCGCCTGGCAGTACCCCCAACCACGGCACCACCTGCCTGGAGTTTGCATGTTCTCCCTGTGCCTGCGTAGGTTTCCTCCAGGTACTTTGGTTTCCTCCCACACTCCAAAGGCATGCCAGTAGGTTAATTGGCTCCTGTCTAAATTAGCCCTAGTATGTGTATGTATGAATATAAGTTAGGGATTTTAGATTGTACGCCCCTTGAGGGTCAGGGACTGATGTGATTATACAATATATATGTAAAGTGCTGCGTAAATTGACAGTGCTATACAAGTATCTGTAATAAATATACTTGCAGCTTTGTGACTTCAGTTGATTGGGGATTTGCGCGGTTTGATCTTACATACATGTCATGCGACTTGCAAATCGTATGCCAAGTCACACCCTATTGTCCGCTATTAGAGTGGTCATATCGCACCGATTTCACCAGTGAGCCACACCAATTTCTAAGGTAGTACATGCACTATTTTTGGTGTGATTTGCATAGATATTTGTGTCAGATGTCTTGCAAATCGCACCTCAACATCAAAAGCAAAGATACCAGTTTCGTAAATATGTAACTGGGTATTTTTTTTGCTTGAGTACATTGCTTTTAATAATGCCCCTTACTACAAAACTATTCAGTTCACATTTGCAATACACTGGCAATTTTGTTAACGATTGAAACCATTATTATTTTTTTTATATCTTTATCATACAAAAACCATATAGGATTCTTTATTTTACAATTGACCAGTGTTACCTTTTATGTTTTGTGAGCGGCTGCCCCAGTTTGCACTTGTTCTTATTATTATTAATATTTTGCTTGTCAGCCTTTGTCACCAACTCCAGGGAACTCTTGCACTGTTCATTTGTCAATAGTGAAATTTCTATGGCTAGCCTAGCATGGTAATCTTTGAATAGGTGGTATTCTGCTGAATACATGCACAGTGTATAAAATTATTCTTAATTTATCATTGTTACTTGTAACTGCTATTGTGTATGGAATTGTAGATTTCCAGCTATGTCCTATATTCAGTGACCAAGCATGAATGCATTGGTTGTCCAGCCACTGTGTTCTACACATTGCACTTACATATGTTTTTTTACTAATTGAAATGCATGTTTAATACGATTATTCTTTTTAACACATTTCTTAGTTTTTCTGTTAATGTTTTATGTCTTTGACAAATAGTGACTGTAATGATTTGTGCTGTCTTTGTTTCAGCAAAGAGGTTAAAATCGAATGCTAACTTGGCACACTTACAGGAGGAAAGTAATTGAAGGACAGCATGACTCAGAAAAGAAGATTTGCACTAGAGCAAACAGTATTCCACTTGGAGTGGACACATTCTATGCAAGGACTTGTGAAGATTTTCATCTTGGTGTCAAAAGTCTTGTATATACACAATGGACCTTTTATTGCTAGAGGAGTATGTATGACTGCATCTCACTATGTATACTGGTACTTTAAACATTCATGCTCACTGTGGATTTTTTTTTCTTTTTCCTTTAAACCGAAAGCATTTTATATTGCAAAAAAAAAAAAAAAAAAAAAGATATGCACAAAGTAATAACAGTGTGCTTCGTGGATGCATCTTCTTTTTTGTTTACTTATATTACAGCTGGTGGTACTCTTCTCTTTTTTTAGAAAGTATACTATAACCATAGATGGTTGGAAGATGCAGCTAGTACAAGTACATAAAGTCTGTCTTTATATTTTAATTCCCTGAACAACGGGAATCAGACTGGAATAGAGAGAGGCAGCAAGGTGAAATAGATACTATTGCACTGTTCATTGTCAGTATAACATTGAGAATTTGCTGGCAATAGGAAAGAGCAAAGACCTCATCATTGAGGTAATGCCACTTCATTGTCATGTTGGATAGCTTAGGTGGGGCAGTGACCAAGCTATATAACTTAACTTTGCACCAATCTTAAAGCACAAACTGAGCCTTTCAGATTTTTAACTCTGTACATATTAGCTGTGCATTGTATTGTCGTTACTCTTTTTTTACGTTTTCATAGCTCTTATGTTTGCTGTTACCTTCTGGTCATCATTAACCACTTCCCATCCGGCCGTTGTATATAAACAGCTGGACGGTGGCAGTGCAGGGGCGGGTTGTCGTTCATAAACAGCGCCTGCCATTTTGGACTGTGCGCATTCCCTGGGACCTCTGTACGGGACCTCTGTGTGAGGTCCTGATCATGTGATCACTGATTGGCCAATCGGTGATCACATGAATAGTAGTAAGCAAGATGTCACTTCTGACATCATTGCTTACTACGTGTGAAATCTGTGAATCATCACAGAGATTACATGGTACAAGGCTAATCACAACAGCCTTGTACCATGTGACAAGATGTGACCAATCACAGCTCACACAGTATTTCTCAATGGCTGCAAGAATGCAGCCAGAGAGGAGAAATGATTGCTTTTACAGCCTTTATGGGTGTAAAAGCAATCGGTGTATAAAAAAAAAAACATCACCCCCCACAAGTAGTACAGTGTCACCATGGTGACACTGTACTGCTAGAGTGACAGTATGTTAAAAAAAAACATAAATAATATAAAAAAAATAAATAACAATGTAAAAAAAAAATTTAGAAAAATTATAATTTTTGGTTATAAACTAATTTGGGTTATTTTTTTTTTTTTTTACTAAAAAGATAACTGAATACATTTTGGCCAAGATTAATGAAGAAAGATTATTTATTTGCAAAATTTTATAAGAAAAACACTTTTTTTCAAAATATTTGGACTTTTTCATTTTTATAGCAAAAAAAATAAAAATCCCCAGTGGTGAATAAATACCACTAAAATAAAGCTTTATCTGTCTCAAAAAAAATGCTAAAAAATTCATATGGGTACAGTGTTGCATGACCGCACAATTGTCATTCAAAGTGTAATAGTGCTGAAAGCTGAAAATTGGCCTGGACAGTAAGGGGGTAAAAGTGTCCGGACATAAAGTGGTTAAACCAAATTGTGAGGATGTTGCAGATATAGGATCATGTAAGGACTTAAACATAGATACATCTTATTTTAATGTACAGTATATATCTAAATCAAATGTAAGGGCCTTATGGAGGCCTCCCTACTTTTTTATTGAAGTGTTGGAATCTTACATTAATCGCTTGCTGCTGACCCACAATACATCTACTGCATTGCAGGCGGCAAAGCCAGGCTAGGCGGGATACCCGTAAGTCGCAGCCTTTCTTCTGGGCTTTGTGCACACGTCTTTGCTGACCTGTGCTATGATTGGACACACCACGAGTTTACCATCAGGTTTAAGCCAGTGATTTTAGCTGAAACCTGCTGATCGGCTGTGGCCAATCACAGCACAGAGTTGTGTGTTTACAAACACAGGCAACACTGCACACACAGAACAGCGATCTAGCTGTTTCTTCTTCCTGAAAAGCAGGGAGAAAAAACAGCCAGATCTGTGAGTAAAAGCAGTACACAGTTAACACCTTCATTTCCCCTTGATGTTAACCCTTTCCCAGCCAGTGTCATTAGTACAGTGTACAGTATTATATCTGATCACTGTATTAGTAATACTAGTGACGTCGGTATCAATCAGTGTCTGTTAGTGCCAGATTGCCTGCCACACTATCACAATCACACTATTAAGTAGCTGATCATTGCCATTATTAATATATCGTTTATAGCTGCATAAATTCCAGTATACAGTGGATATAAAAAGTCTATACCCCCCCTATTAAAATGTCAGGTTTCTCTGATGTAAAAAAAAAAAAATGAGACAAAGATTAATCATTTCAGAACTTCTTTCCACCTTTAATGTGACCTATAAACTGTACAATTCAGTTGAACAACAAACTGAAATCTTTTTGGTGGAGGGAAGTAAACATAAAAAACTAAAATAATATGGTTGGATAAGTGTTCACACCCTTAAACTAATACTTTGTTGAAGCACCTTTTTGATTTTATTACAGCACTCAGTCTTTTGGGTATGAGTCTATCAGCGTGGTACATCTTGACTTGGCAATATTTGCCCTCTCTTCCTTGAAACAACACTCCGAATCTGTCAGATTGCAAGGGCATCTCCTGTGCACAGCCCTCTTCAGATCACCCCACAGATTTTCGATCAGATTCAGGTCTGGGCTCTGGCTGGGCCATTCCAAAACTTTAATCTTCTGGTGTCATGCTGAAAGATGAAGTTCCTCTTCATGTTCAGCTTTCTAGCAGAAGTCTGAAGGTTTTGTGCCAATATTGACTGGTATTTGGAACTGTTCATAATTCCCTCTGCCTTGACTAAGGCCCCAGTTCCAGCTGAAGAAAAACAGCCCCAAAGTATGATGCTGCCACCACCATGCTTCACTGTAAGTATTGGTGTTCTTTTGGTGATGTGCAGTGTTGTTTTTACGCCAAACATATCTTTTGGAATTATGGCCAAAAAGTTCAATCTTAGTTTCATCAGACCATAACACATTTTCCCACATGCTTTTGGGAGACTTCACATGTGTTTTTTGAAAAATATATTGGGCTTGGATGTTTTTCTTCATAAAAAAGGCTTCCTTCTTGCCACTCTACCCCATAGCCCAGACATATGAAGAATACAGGAGGTTGTTGTCACATGTACCACTCAGCCAGTACTTGTCAGTTATTCCTGCAGCTCCTTCAGTGTTGCTGTAGGCCTCTTGGCAGCCTCCCAGACCAGTTTTCTTCTCGTCTTTTCATCAATTATGGAGGGATGTCCAGTTCTTGGTAATGTCACTGTTGCACCATATTTTCTCCACTTGATGATGAATGTCTTTACTGTGTTCCTTGGTATATCTAATTTGGAAATTCTTTTGTACCCTTCTCCGAACTGATACCTTTTAAGAATGAGATCCCTCTGATGCTTTGGAAGCTCTTTGTGGACCATGGCTTTTGCTGTAAGATGTGACTAAGAAAATGTCAAAGACCTACTAGAACAGCTGAACTTTATTTGGGGTTAATTAAAGGCACTTAAATGATGGCAGGTGTGTACTGACTCCTATTTAACATGATTTTGATTTTAATTCTGAACACCGCTACATCCCCAGTTATAAGAGAGTGTACACACTTATGCAACCACATTATTTTAGTTTTTTTTATGTTTACTTCCCCCCGTAAAAGATTTCAGTTTGTTTTTCAAGTGAGTTGTACAGTTTATAGGTCACAGTAAAGATGGAAAAAGTTCTGAAATTATTTATCTTTGTCTCATTTTTTTACGTCACAGAAACCTGACATTTTAACAGGGGTGTGTAGACTTTTTATATCCACTGTATATATCATAGTTTGTAGATGCTAAAACTTTCACACAAACTGATTAATATACACTTATTGGGATTTTTTTTTTTTTTTGCCAAAGACGTAGCAGAATACATTTTGGCCTACATTTATTTTGATTTTATTGGATATGGATTATAACAGAAACTAGGAAATATTTTTTTTAAAAAAGCCCAGTGTTGATCAAGTACCACAGAAAGAAAGCTTTTATTTGTGTGAAAAAAGGTAGCTAAATGGTTAGCACTTCCGCCTGGCAGTACTGGGGTTGTTGGTTTGAATCCCAGCCACCGCACCTCCTGCATAGAGTTTTCATGTTCTCCATGTGTCTGCATGGGTTTCCTCTGGTACTCCGGTTTCCTCCCATATTCCAAAGACATGCTGGTAGGTTAATAGGCTCCTGTCTAAATTGGCCCTAGTATGTGTATGTATGAATGTAAGTCAGAGACCTTAGATTGTGCGCCCTTGAGGGTTAGGGACTGATGTGAATGTACAATATATGTGTAAAGCGCTGTGTAAATTGACAGTGCTATATAGGTACCATAAATAAACTATAAATTTCATGTGGGTACAGTGTTGCATGACCAAGCAATTGGCAGTTAAAGTAGCACAGTGCTGAATAAAAAAATATGCTCTGATCATAAAGTGGCTAAATCATATGAGGTTTTGTTTTTTATCTGGTTAGTGAAGTTCTTGCAACATGCAAATTGGTGTTAAAAATTGACCATTGTTCTATTCACAACAAGCTTCTATTCAGGTCTGGTTCCGCATGCACATGACTTGATCGTAAACTTGATAAGAAGCTAAGAAATATGATATTTGGCTACATTTGAATTTAATTGGTATATTTAATATGCCAGTATTTTCATTACAATTTGTTACTTTGCACATTTATCATAAGGCTTAGGTGCATACCTATTTTTATTTATTTCTTTCATGCCTGCATTCTGTGTTTGGAACATATTACTGACAGTCATTTACACTGGTGACTTCAGAAATGATTCCAGTACATAAC